CAAATAATAAACATAAGTCGACTCATCTCGGTCGGTGTCGAAAAATTTTGTATTAAATTTGCTAATTGGCGACGTATGATATCATTTCCCAATCAAATTGGAAGTGTAAACCTATTATTTTTACTGTGAGATGATATGCTCGGTTTATTTTTACTATATCTATATGATTGTGAGTTAACGTTTTTTTTATCAGTTTGATTACTTGTCACGCACCGCTATTTATCGTTCTCAAAGGTCCGTTTAGGAGATACGGCAGTAAAGGAAGAGAAAGAGAGAAAGAATGAGGGAATTAAAAAAAATAATATAGAACAAGAGCTAATGAGAGTTATAGCGGTAAGTGAAGCGCAAATGGTCATAAGTGGATAAAGTGTTGAACTAGTTTTTATTCAAATACTTGTTAATCCACGGACGTTTTGATTCAATTTTGAATCATCTTCAGCAAATGCTGGAAGGTTGGTTATGAAATTTCATGGAGTAAAGAGCGTACTTCTTTAAAATACAGAGAAGCTCCCAATATAAAGTTGTATCGTTGATTCTTGATTGGTAAGTCTAATAATAACGACTTGACACGTGTAACATTAGTCAAAACCAATGTCCGAAAACGTAAGATTTAATTATAATGATTTTACTACTGATTTTTTTTATTCCTTTGTTTATGTCTTACGTTTTATTTTGATTATTTGTATTAATTAACTTATAAGAATTATTTATTTTAAACCGAATCATATGTTGTCAATTATTAGAAATTTTAAACATTTTATCGTTTGCTCGAGGTGTTAATTTTATTATTTAAATAACAGAGAATAAATAATAAAAGATTATTGTTTAAATATTTACCAATAATTGGTAGAAATTTTCACATTCAAGTTCTTAATTTAATTAAATATTTTCGGCTTTATGGGGATATTGACGATGATAATTTTTATGTCGAGAGTTGTACGTATGTATTAATTTAATAGATTTGGAAATACTTTTTCAGAATTATTAAAGTATACGTATTAATACTAGTCTGATGTACGCTCGGAGTTTATACCGAGAACGAAAAAAATTTTTATAATTCAAATCTTTTTTACCATTTCTTAGCTCTATGTGGCATTTAGAGTTGTCAAATAGAGACAATATGTGCTTGATATAAAATCTCTGCTATTCTATTTATAGTATTTACGAAATTACGATAGAGTTAGATTACATGAAGAAACAACATCAAATTTATTATAGAATTAGATTTAAATACCTATTTTTCGAGAAATATATATACGCAAAAATTTTTAACGAAGCGTGTGTGCAATATTAATGCATGTGATAGTACGAGGTCAAGTCAGTAGATTTTTAGAAAAACATAGTAAAACATTTTTTTTTATCAATTCATTTTTATTTCTCAATATAGTCTTTTTTCAACTCGATACACTTAATCCAACAATTCTTCAACATTTAAAGCCGTCCGAATAATATGATTTGCCTTTCAAAATAAGCCTCTGTTTCGGCGATCATGAACTGCTCTCTAGTGGTGAATCTCTTTTCTCCGAACCATATCTTCAGGTTTGGAAATAGGAAATAGTCGCAGAGGGCTAAATCTGGCGAATATGCTGGATGGGGCAGCAATTGATCGTAGCGGAATTTGTTGAATTTGGCCACCGCTACCGGGATTGCGCTTATTATATTATTATTATTATATTATTATCACTGTGCCATGTGATATGCCTGTGGCCTCAACAAGCTCGCGCACTTTCACTCGTCGGTCAGTCAAAACAATATCTTGGACTTTATCAATGATTTCTGGCGTAGCAGTCTCAATTGGACGTCCCGAACGAGGTGCATCACGGGTGGATGTACGACCATAAATTTATTCCATCCAATTGTATACAGTCGCAAACACTGATGCAGATGTGCTATGAACATTATCCAAATTGGCTTTGATTTCTTTCGGCGTTAAACCTTTCATGTGTAGATGTTTGATCACTGCATGAAACTCGTTTTTTTCCATTTTGCAAAAAATATAAAGGTTGTTCTCTTTAATCGTCTACAGAAAT